GGAGGGGAATTTGAATGTAGGGACTGCTTAGAGATTTCCTTTTGGATTGTATGCATTAAATAGTTTATTTTCCTAGGGTTAGGGCATCTTGAATTTGGCTGAAATTTGAGATCTCTTAGGTTTTTTGGGCTCTAGCGACGTCTAGAGATTTGGGAGAGATAGACCCTTCTCTCGAATAGAGGATCAATTGTATCTTGCTATTTTCTTTCCTTAGTGTGTCCTTGCAATAAAATTCCTATTTTTTTTTTTTAATTTTCCGTTGAATTTGTGGAGATTTTTCGCTGTTTTTGTCGAGATCGTTAGGTTTTACTTGAGATCTTCAAGTGTTTCCTATTGCCTGTTTTATTTTTTTCGTCTTCTTTTTTTAGGTTCTTGAAAATGGTTTAAATTCTTGAGTGAACATTTCTGCACCTAAAATAATGAGTCGAACTTGTGGGTGCTTGGAGAGGTTAGTAAGGTGTTTACTGGTGCCTTCATTATAATCGACTAAATGAGAATTTTTTGGTGACTTGTCCCTCAAGCTTATTTGGAAAATAGGATTCTTAACAGAGTCAATGCCTGCTGCAAGAATCAATTTGTCTAAGGTTGTATCTTTTGGGCGCCTCTTGCTTTTAAGCTTATGGACTATGGCAGTGGAAACATTCATTCTTCTTTGCTTGATGATCACGTTGATGTCCCTGTTTATGTTATCTTGCTCTCTATTCGTAGTTTGGATCCATGTTGTCTGCATCCTGATCTTATGTATTGTTTTATTATTTTATTTTTCTTGATCATATTGATTGAATATTAGTTTATTGTTAATTTTAAGATTGCCTGTTTTCTTTTGCTATTGTTTTTTGTGAGAGATAAATGTGGCTACACTATGATGAAACTGTTACAAGCTAGCCCTGGAGATACATGTTTAATTTATTAAACTAGATCAGAATGAGATGGTCCATCATTCTTATTTATTGGCAAACTTTTCCAAAGCATAATACTAGTGAAATAAATTTAAAATACGTGCTTGTCTTCATCAGCCATCTTTCTTAAGGAAGTTTGTTTCACCGTGAGATCTGCACAATAAATGAGGATTTGTTTTAATTTTTTTTTTCAGAAAAAAATATATATTTATTTTTTTTATAAAACTTCTGCAAACTACACCGGCTAATCTAAGAGCTTGAACGCTATAATGCATGTAAGTCAGAAATGAGAGTTTGACCTGCAATTTCCTCTGAACGTGCATGGAGTGGCCTTCTAATTCTGCGTAATTGAAATTAGAAGATTTTAGAGTTTAATTAAAGTTTAGAGTTTACTGAAAGTGTAATCGCTGCTTCAAAATAATCTCATTGCAAATCATTTTATTCAAGTGCATGTTTGCTAAATTATTCTTGGCATCTTTCTGAAACCTGTTGGATGTACAATTGCACTTTTCATCTGTTTTTACTTGAGAAAATCAATTGCCAAAAACATTGACTGATTAAGATCTGAACGATCTCAATCTTTGTGATGCATTTTGCTGATAAATGTGTCATATTTCTACAACATCAGCATTTTATCCAGATTATAATCTTATCTGTGGCAGTGCATTTCTTGATTCTTGAGGCATATTTCATACTCCTTTATGAATTCAACTAACATCAGGAACGGTGCATACTTGCTGCTACTTGACAATATAGCATTGTTTTAATACTTGCTTGTTGATTTCTACTATATAATGAAATTGACGAGTTCCAAACATTTCTTTTCATTAGCAAAATTACCTTTCCCATTGACTCCAAGATTCAGATCAATGCTGCAAAATGGGATTGACCTGAGCACTGTAGATGTGAGCTATGTTAGTGGTCGCTCATGGTATGTTACTCATGCTAGAAAATTTCGATTGTTTTTTGTCACCTTATTTAATTAAAAAAACATCTGATTTTTCTTGAAATTTGATAGGTATTTCCTGAATCTGTTTGGATTGAGGGGCCTGTTCAGCCTAATTCTAGGAGAAGAAAACGGTTCGGTTCTTGTACTGTTTTCTATTTATTTTCAAATATGTAATTGTTAATAAGTTGTATATATATCTTTTAATGCATGCTTTTTCCCCATAGCTATGGATGATACACAACGAATGATGCAGATGGGTGGTGGGTTTGGTGTTGACCCCACAAAGGTATGTTTCGTTCTTTTTATTTACTGTGGCACTAAAAAATTTCTTGCAGCATCTTTAGATCACATGCCCTGTCATTAATCTCTTACATTGAACTCCCTTTTCTTTTTTTCCCCCTCCTTTTGTCAAAATCTCCTTCTTGATACCAAAATTTTCTAGGATTTAGTTTTGCATTTATATTATGAAAATAAAATTATATACTGTAGCTCCCTATTGCAAGCTATACCTGTCCCAGATGTAATATTTAACTACTAGGTTTATGCATTTAAATTGCCACATTTGGCTGCCTATAAGCATGTCACAATATCATGTTAGAGTTAATAGCAAGGTTGTGAAAATCAGATTGGACATAGAACTAGAAGGAGAGATTCAATGTTCAACGATTCGACCGGTGTTGAATTGGTTGATGTAATAAATATTAAAAGTATTCAATTATAATATAAATTATATAATAAATGGAATTTTTAAAAGTGAATATATAATTATTTTAATTTAGACTCTTGAATAAGCTCGATTAAAGATGTATAAGTACAATAAGATGCTTGATTCACCATTGATATGAATATAAGTATATGTATATTATAGATATAAATATATGAGCATTAAATACATTTTATAATAAGAATAATATTTAATATAATTTATTAATTTATAATATTAAAAAATTTATAATATACTTTATAACAAATTTGCAGCCCAACCAACCCAAATTCATATTCTAACACATATCTGAAATTAAATTCAGATTTTGATTAAAACTTCTCCCACGCCTCCTCATCACCTAATCTCCTAACCCTAGCCGCTTCTCACACTCCATAGCCGCCCCTCCTTTGCTCACTCCCCACCTTAGGCCGGCCCTCTCTTCATCCCCCTTGGGAGGGTGAGACAAAAGAAGAAAAAGACAACATCTCCCCCACCCACTTCAATGTTGAATGGCGGATCCCGAGCTTGAGTGGGGTCTAGTATTCAACGCCGACGGAAGTATCAACGTCCTACGGTCTTCGTGCTTCGACCTAGGATTTGAAGACGAAACCACCGTGGAAGAGTACTTGGAGAGAGTCGTCCCGATCATTGCAAGCATCTACGACCGACAATTTTCAAAGTACACTTGGAGCCTCGACAGCCACTTACAACATCCCTCCCCACCGGCTACTTTTTCTCCGACGAAGTTCTTCGGCACCCTCTCTTTAGTGGTAACATCCTTCATCGCTTGGATCTTCTATCTCCGCCAAAAGCCTACCAATCTTTGAGTGAGACGGCCACGAGGTGAAATTTCGTTGTTAAACGTTGGGTTTTGTTATTGTACTTTGCATATTAAATTCTCCTAGAACTTTGAATGAATTGATTCTGTTAATCTCTATTGCAACTCTTTGGCCTAAGCAAGTTAACGTTTCTAATTCTTAACCCTATCTTGAATGATCGACATAAACTTATAATAGCAAACTTAAACAATTCTCTTTTAAATTTCTAATTGCAACTCCTAGTGGTATTACATCAATTTAAAACTAAAAATATTATTTAAATTTGATTTAAATAAAATTAAATATTTATATAATGGACCGGTTCTGCAAAACTGTGATTGGTTTGATGGTTTTCTGGCCAAATTGACAGTTCAAACTGGTTTGATGCTATACAATTTTTGAATTTGACCGAATCAGTAACTTGGCTGGTTCATGGTCGAACTAGTTGAACCGATCGGTTCAATCGGATTTTCAAAACATTAGTTATAGAGTGGTGCTTCAACCAGCTTTATATAAATGGTAAATTATAGTTTTCTATGCTATTATATTTCACTTCTTTAGTTTAGGTGCCATTAAAAGAGAAGCATAAAATTAAGTTAAGTGTTGCAGAGATGAGGATACTCAGGTGGATGAGTGGCTTTACTCTTAGAGACAATGTGAAACGAACATACTTGTCAATGATGAATGATACACAATGGTGTAAAGTTTCACATGGAGCCATGGTGCATATCGCACGATACAGTGCACGTCATTTTAAACATGGTGCATGCTATAAAGTAATTAAAAAATATATTTATTAATATTAAATATCATTAAATAACAAACAATAAGTTGATTAGAGCAAAATTTAAGCATAAATACTATCAAATAACATTAATGACAACTTTAAATCCTACAAAAAACTTATATCAATTGATTTGAATAGGATCTAAGCATACTTTAGCCTAAATTCTACAAAATAGCAAAAACAATAGCTTTAAATCCTACATAAAGTTAAATAATTTATTTTTTATATTTCATTAATTTGAGGTTTAATTAATTAATAATTAATTGTGATAGTAATATATAAATTTTAAAATTTCAATTATAATTTATAAATTGAAATTCATAACATGTTTACAAAATAGCACTCGTCATTTATGTCTTGTGCCAAGCGCAATTGTTCATGCATGGCGCAAATAGCGTTCGCTATTTTGATGCGCCGTGCCACACCAAGCAAATAGCACCATCTATGCTGTCCGTGCATATCGTGTGCTATGGCGCATGCCATTTTGCACCATTAACATGTATGAAAACGATTATGTACGTGATAAGGTTGGAGTAGTTCTAGTGGTAGATGAAATTTGTGAGAGTTGCCTTAGATGGCTTGGTTACATAAAACGCCAACCTTTCGATGACCTGATCAGGAGATTAGATGCATTAAATTTGACCTATGTTAAGAAAGATAGAGATAAACTTAATAAGACTTGGTTAACAACTATTAGGAATGACCTTTGGTTATTAGATTTGAATGAGAATTTGACTCTTAACATAGTACAATGGAGAAAAATGATCAATGTTATCAACCCCATGTAGTGGGATAAATGTTTGATGTTCTTGTTGTTGTTGCTTTAGTTTAGGAGCCTGTGTTTCGTAACGAAGAAAACCTTCCCTATCAATTTCCTGTATTTGAGAATTTTTTATATTTATTTATTGTTTGAGTTCTAACATAAAGATCAAGGATTTTCGATGTTCTTCAAAGCCGTTTTCATGTGAGGACAGATTATCTATTGCAAAAGTGGCCTGCATAGTAATCTTCTGTCGTGGTGTTGCACTCATGCAAAACCAACATTTTGAAAATCTAATCAGACTGACCGGTTCAAATAGTTTTATCGTGAAGTGTCTAAGTTATCGATCCGGTCAAATTCAAAAACTATGTTTGCATGAAACCCGCTTAACTGGAAAACAATTGAGCCAGCCCGGTCTTTGTAGAGCTGACTGGTTCTATAAAATATTTAATTTTATTTCAAAATAAATTTAAAATAATATGTTTTTGTTTATTAAATCCTTTTAAAATTTTTAAAACATTTTTATTATATATGAAAATAAATTCTATCATGATATATGCATACCATCTTACATAACATGCTTTGTTGTAAATTGTATGTACTTAATACTACATAAAAACAACTACCTTAAACTCCCCTATAAAGTTGGACTAAAAAAGTTGCAAGAATATTGCATGAATTAGAATGCCAATTTGAGTTTGGTTTGGTTGGGCTGCAAATTTTTTTAATGTGTATCATATTTATATATTATAAATTTGTTATAATAAGTGTTATAAAATTAAATAATAGAATTTTTTAATACTGTAAATTTATATATTGTATTAAATATTATTCTTATTATAAACTATATTTATACATTTATATTATACATTTTTAATTTTTTTTTTAAATATATTTAATGCTCATATATTTATATTTATAATATACATATTTATATTCATATTAATGATTAATCAAGCTTCTCACGCATTTTACATCTCTTTAATTCGAGTTTGCTCAAGAGTTTTAATTGAGGTAATTATATATTTATATTGAAAATTTTATTTATTATATAATTTATGTTATATTTGAATACTTTTAATCTTTATTACGTTATCCTGTTCAACTCGGGTTCAACCCCAGTGGAACCCTTGAACTTTTTCTTCTTCAGGTTCTATGTCCTGTCCATCTTTCACTGCCTTGTGTAAAACCTTTGTGGAATGCCATCATGAGTTCTAGCCTAGAAACTGATGCTAGCGAGAGGATAACTCTGTTTCTCCTTCGTAACCTCTCATATTTATTTGATCATTTTCTAGCGTATCTTTTGTCTTCGCAATGAACTTTCACTTCAGCTTTGTGGTATCACCCTAATTTCAATTCTGATCCGTAACGTTCAGCTTGATATCTTCCCTTATTTCTGAAAGCAGAGTTATTGTTTATCAAGTAGAAGAGGATAGGAAAAGTCTTCAGGTATCAGGGATGTTCAAAATTTTAGAGTGGTAGGTGCTGTTTGATTTAATATGCAATGGAATTAGTGAGGAACTGCTATCAGGAGGCCATTTAAAGGGAAAATGTGATATTTTATCCTTTCTTTGCTTTTTAAACTTTCCTTCCTGTAATCGGGCATCTTATAATCCGGCAGGCGCTCTCTGCCTTTCAAACTCTGTCGTCTTATAATCAGGAAGATCCTCTCTACCTTTCAAACTTCAGAATCTAATAGAATCAAAATCATTCAATCATTTTTTTGTCAACTAATAAAGTCCATGTTGTGTCCCATATCAGCTCTTCCAATGATCATTACTTGTTACATATTTTTATGAGTACATATTATATAAGTCAAAACAATGAAGATATCCTGCTATATAGAACTGTTCAATTTCATACTACTAATAATCTTCTAAGGTTTCGTTTGGGACAGTTTTTTATTGCTTTTTAAAACATCTTTATAGTTTAAAAATTAAAATTTTTATACTAGAAAGCTGCTTTAAGAAGCATTAAGAACGCCGTCCCAAGGCTTCGTTTGAGATGACTTTTTTATTGATTTTTTTTTAAATGGAGTTTTAGTATAAAAATTAAAATATTTGTATTAAAATTTCGTTTTAAAAAGCAATAAAAAGTCGTCCCAAACGAAACCTAAAATGACTTTTTAATACAAAACTTTTAATTTATATAATAAAAAGTTGATTTAATAAGCAGTAAGAAAGCCGTCCCAAACGAAATCTAAATCACATTTCTACTCTAACTTTGCAAGAATGAAAATAATTTGTGCTTCTTTCAGAATTTGGGTGCTGAGAAGGATGGCATTGACATTATTCAACATGAATGGACCCTCCCGAAAATGGAGCAGAGGGCAGAAATGGTCTTGAGAAAACTAGTTAAATAAGCTTGCTTGTAACCTCAGATATAGTGACCGCCCTTTTCCTCATTTTACAAATCTCAGCGCGTTCTTTTATGGTTATATTCATGAACTCTGAATGCTATTTCTAGTCTCATGAGTTAGAAAGATATAGACAAGATCTTTCTAAAATGTATTTGCATAGAACTCTGCTTTTATTTATTGAGATGTTTAATTAGACAGAGAAAAATGTTTCCAGCTTTGCTCGAGTAATTGTAGACTTTCTATTTCATGTGATGCGACTCAATCTTTTCATTTGTATTACATAGCTGATAGCAGGTTGGGTGCGTACTCAGATTACTAAAGTTTTTAATTTGGTATTGTGTTCGCCGAAATACAAGGATTAATGAGATTAGTATAAGGTATCCATTGAGGCTTAGGGTGGTTGGTGGGCGAGTATGGTTGGGAACCCCTCATCTCAGGTTTTAATCCCCTCTACTACGGACTCGCCTCTTTAGTGAGGCAACGCAAGTTTGGGCTTGATGCCGGCGTGTGGCCTCGTTAGGTGCCGCTGAGGGATTAGTTACGCCGCCAAGCACTCCCTTTGGAGTGGCAACAGTTAGATACACTCGTTCCAAATAAGGCTTCATTTGAGACGGCTTTCTTATTGCTTCTTAAAATAGCTTTCTAGTTTAAAAATTAAAATTTTTTACTAGAAAGTTACTTTAAGAAGCAAAAAGAAAGCCGTTCCAAATGAAGCTTAAGTTATAGCACTTACATTTGGGTCAAGGAGGACAGATCTCCCCACCACTACTAAGGGCCTTAGGCCATGTCTCAAACCGTAAAGGCCATTTATGATAACTTTTTATTTTATTTTATTTTATTTTATTAATGTTTTGATATAAATTAAATATTTTTTTATTCGGGGCAGCAATCATGCCAACGAGGTGATGATGGTTGTGGATGGTGGTGGTTATCGATGATAATGTTAGCAAGTGATGGTTGTTAGTGGTGACAGTAAGTGATGGTTGTCAGTGGTGACTGCAAGAGATAATGGCGGTTGGCAGTCAGTGAAGGAAAATACAAAACTACATCAGTAATTCCCATTATCCATCAGCCTAATGACAGAACCAAAGCCAACGAAATTAGTGACCATATCTGGTAACATTAAAAAATAACTGCTGTATTAATCACCAAAACCCTTTGCATTGAACTTAAATTGTATTGTACACGGTCACTAAACATCGATCAAATTTTATCTCCATTTTAGTATCTAATATTCAGGTGGACGAGTGGCTTTACTATGGCTTTACTCTTAGAGATAGGATATGAATTGAGCAATATACGTGAAAAGGTTTGAGTAGTTTCAGTGAAAGATAAGATTAGAGAGAGTCGTCTTACATGGTTTGGTTACATAAAATGATAGCCTTCCGATGACCCTATTAGGAAAGTAAATGTATTAGATTTGTCTTATGTTAATAAATATAGCGTTAGAACTAAAAAATATTAAAAATATATTTTTTTTAAGATTTAAATGAGAATTTGGATCTTAATTGGACACAATGGAGAAAAAAATGTTTGACATCATATAGTGGGATAAATAATTGAAGATGTTGATGTTGTTGTTGTTGTTTAGTATGTAATATTCAAACAAACACAAGCAGCCAGGCTAAAAAAATCACAAGCTAGCCTGCTTTCTGATGCTTTAATAGCTGTAGCAGAGGATAACTTACAACATGGCTTGTAAGATTGAGTAATAAGCATATACGTGAAAAGGTTGGAGTAGCTCCAGTGGAAGATAAGATTACAGAGAGCCACCTTAGATGGTTTGGTCACATAAAATGATGGCCTCCCAATGAACCGGTTAGGAAAGTAGATGTATGAGATTTGAGTTATGTAAAAAAAGAGAGGTAGACATAAAAAAACTTGGTTAGAAATATTAGAAATGATCTTTCTTTATTATATTTAAACGAGAAATTGACTTTTAACATGACATAATAGAGAACAAGGATTCATGTAGCCAATCCCACGTAGTGGTACAAAGTCCTAATTTTCTTCTTCTTGTTGTTGTTCTGAATTAGAAATTTTTATATTAAAAAGCTATTTTAAGAATTAGTAAAGAAACTATCTTGGTGGAAGCCTTAATTTGAATTTACTTCACCACTTCTGTCTGTAATAGCAGTCAAGTTTTCATGACAATCTTTTTTGACTATCTCCATGGTTGTTGATCTGCACTTAATATGAGTGATGAGGTGCACACTGAAAATGAGATTTGCGTGGAAATAATCACACATGTGGGGTCTGGTAAGAAAAACTGTGAAAATATATATAAACGATCGATTACATGCTAGAAAAATTTGTATGAAGCCAAATCCTTCATGATAGCTGTATTTGACTGTCACCCTTCTCTCTCTCTCTCTCTCTCTATCTAGAGAGAGAGAGAGAGAGAGAGAGAGAGAGAGAGAGAGAGATTATATGTATGTTGGATGTTTGAGCTTAAGATGGCTGAAGATAACTAACCAAGTTTATTAAGGCTTAAGAGAACCGAAATCTGCTTGGTTGATTAAAAGAAAAGATGATGCAAGTTCAAAAACTGGTTTAAAAAAAAGATTAAGATTTAATAGGACTTAATTAAGTTAATTAGTTCAAAGTTTTAGTAGACAATGAGTAGGTTATAAAGAATAAGCTGGTATTAGGTTGAATAAGTACTTATTAACTAATAACCTAGCAATTATGCCATATTAAATGATTACAACAACAATTCTGGTTGGGCATCTATGATCATAGAGAAGAGCGATAAAAGCATGGGAATGGAGTTTCAATGCAGAAAGAAAAAGGTATAAAATATTATGTAACCAACCGCTCAATAATTATACAACACATCTGTCAGTATAAATATGTGATTATTTTCATTCAAAGTCATTGGTGAAGTGAAATGTCAATTCATCAAAGGTTGCAATGGTTCATTCTTCAACAATGCAATGCCTATGACAGCCCGAATAACTAATACAAAATGTCAAAAGGAGGGAGGATAACCCTTAGGTTTCGTTTGGGATGTGTTTTTTACTGCTTCTTTTAGCAGTTTTTTAGTACAAAAATTAAATTTTTATACTAAAAGGCTGCTTTAAGAAGCGGCAAAAAAACTATCTCAAACGAAGCCTTATTCTTTGGAACTTCCTTGACTTACTTCTTCTTTCATTAGGAAATGCTCTCTCTTTTTACAATCTATTTAGCAAATTGTTTTCTACTTAAAACCTTGTATTATTTAACGAGGAGTTAATAAAAATTCTCTTGTTTTTCATAATGAGTGTAAGGCTTCGTTTGGGACGGCTTTCCTACTACTTTTTAAAGGAGTTTTTTAGTACAAATATTAAAAAATTTGTACTAGAAAGCTGCATTAAGAAGTAGTAAGAAAGCTGCCCTAAAAGCCTAAGTTACTATGCATAAGCACTTAAAATCTCTATATTTGAATTGTGGTTATCTCTATGTTATAAGACTGAATCTTCTTCTCTGGCTAGTCTCCCTTTCTAGAAGTTAACCTCAGTTGTTATTAGTCCTTTTCGAATTCCAAATATTTTTTTGTTATTAACATTTGGTGCTCTAATTCTAAGGTTTTTTAATCTACTGAAGATTCTTTAGGGTATCACAATAGTCAATTAGCTACAACAACTAATCTTTTGTCCTTGGCCTTCTGTTATGTGATTGACTAATTATGTAAGCCCACTTCTTTTATGGAGCATCAAAAGATGATTCTTGTTAATTCTTATTGACTATTTTATTATGTAGTTGCAAGCAAATTCTATTGTGAAGATTATCAATGATGTTGTCACCCAAAGTTCCTTTTGTCCAACATATTTATCACATGTCGTCTCCTTTTGGATATCGTCAATAACAAGCATAGATTGTGTCACAACGTAATCTTATGGACCCAAGAAAAAAATCTAGATTTCACAAACATGCATTCAGACTTCTGGAACCTGCTCGAAAACACATGCAAATATTTTTCATGCACATAGATCATTATTGGACACATGTAAAAGAATTCAAACACAAAAATTCAATAGATTATCTAACTTCTTGTCATGTCAGTTCGGTTTGAACATTAATCTGATCCTGGAGATGTCACAGATATCTCAATGATAAGAAGCTAAACTTTTTCTATAACGTTTATGGAGTGAACATCAAAATTGCTTCTGCTAGCTATTCATAATTTAAAGATCAAATATAATAAACCAATCATGAACCTACTTATGTGCAAACTAATGGCTAAGAAAGGACATTGGCTCAGAGAGCTATCATTAATACTTTGAGCTTATTACACAACACTAATCACCATCACTAGGGAGACTATTTGTGCTTGCCTTTGGAGTTGAGACCATCACCCTGGTTCAAATTTACAATAAATTTAATTAAATTCAGATCATCATTTCATAACCCAAATTTTAAATTAAAATTCAACCAATCTTCTTTGTCTATTATTTTTAAATAGTTCATTAAGCCAAATGTACATTTTTAGAGTACTCGAGTTAATTTCCAATTGCTTTGCTCGACTTAATAAACTAGACTAAGGAATTGATTGAGCATATATGAGAGATTAAGGTCCTTAGTTGAGGCCATTCTAAATATTTAGATAGGCACAAGAGAAAGGAATTTGAAGAAAATTCAGTAAGGGAAGCATCATAAGAAAAGATAAAACATGGAGAAAACTAAGGGTTGATATTGAAGCAAAGGAATAATGAGCGAAAAGAATTTTGCACATAAAAAAAAGAATAACCTAGTAATAAAAGAATTATTACAGTACCAAGATGTGAGAATAACCGCTAAAATTATAAACTTGAAAATACAAAATAAACTCTTGATTGTGCTAAGTTAGCCACTAGTTTCTCATCACCCGCCTTTCCTTTGCCCAACCCATCACTAGAAGGTAAAAGAGCGGGGGAGGAGACATACTCAATTGGAAACACATCTAATCTAACAACTACCAATTTTACTAAAGGTTAGCTTGATAATTACAAAAATTGACTAGGATATTCAATAAATTTAGTTGATTCACAAAGGTTATTTAGTCTTATTGTCTT